GTTTATTTGACATGGAACCCTAAGCCAATTGCTTTAAGTAATCACCAAAATAAAAAGATAGAAAATAGTAAAGGGAGATCAAGAAATATGGAGGATAGAATGTGAGGGGGACAAAGGCAATATAGAGGAGAATATTTGAAGAATTTCCCAGAACTATGGAAAGTCACTGTATTAGTTCTCTGTAGCTGCCATAACAAATTACCCCAACATTAGTGGCTTAAAATAACAAATGTATTGGCTTATAGTCCTGGAGGTCAGAAGTCTAACACTGGTCTCACTGGGGTAAAATCAAGGTGTTGGCAGGGTGCATTCCTTCCCAGCGCTCTAGGGGAGAGTCTGTTTCCTTGCTTTTTCCAGCTTCTAGAAGCTGCCCGCATTCCTTGGTTCATGGCCCCTTCATCCATCTTCCAAACCAGCAAGAGTGGGCTGAGTCCTTCTCATCTCACTCTAATCACTCTGACCATCACTCTTCTGTTTCCCTCTTCCGCTTTATCATATCATAATAATTGTTATCCTTGTGATTATACGGGGCCTACCAGGATAATCCAGGATAATCTCTCTATTTTGAGGTCAGCTGATTAACAACTTTAGTTTCATCTACAACCTTAACATAGATATCTACAGGGTCTGGGAATTAAGACATGAACATCTTTGGGGAGCCATTTTTCTGCCTGCCATAGACACAACCAATCCATAGATTCATGAGGCTTGATAAATATTAAACAGAATAATTTAAAAAAAAACACACAGAAGTAGGCTGGGCACAGTGGCTCACGCCTATAATCCTAGCACTTTAGAAGTCCAAGGTGAGAGGATCACTTGAGGCTACAAGTTCCAGACCAGCCTGAGCAAGAGCAAGATCCTGTTACTATAAAAAATAGAAAAATTAGCCAGGCGTGGTGGTGCACACTTGCAGTCCCAGCTACTCGGGAGGCTGAGGCAGGGGGATGGCTTGGGCCCAGATTTTGAGGTTGCTGTGAGTTATGATGAGGACACCACTGCCCTGGTGACAGAGCAAGACCTTGCCTCAAAGAAACAAAAACATAAACAAAAAAAAACCCACAAGTAGACACATCATAACAAAATGCAGAATATCAAACAGAAAGGGGAGACATTTAAAGAAGCCAGATAGAGAAGACAAATTACTTTACAGGAGCAAGAGAAACAGGCCCCTGCTAATTTACCAATGGCATCCATGGAAATTAGAAGATAATAGAATGATGTCTTCAACGTACTGAGAGAAAATAATTGCCAATTTAGTATTCTATACTCTGTAAATGTCTTTTAAGATTGAAATAAAAATATTTCCAGAAAAATTAAAACTGAGGATTTACAACTAAAGGACCTAAGAAACATCTTTAAAACATCTGTGTCAATTAGGAAAAAGTGGCCCCAGATGCAACCTGTGATGCAAGAAGGAATGAAGAGCAAGGCAGCGT